ATATACAAAAAACCCGACACCTTTCACCTCGGTTCACCTCGGACCGGGGCCAATGTTCTTGTTTTGACGCATGCTTGACGTTCATATCAATTATAACTCCTTGCTAATTTCATATAAGATCGTTGTTAATAATCAGACAACATCATGGCGCTAGAGAAAGAGCCCTCATAAGTTGAGGTCAATCTCTGATTTATTGGTCATCAGCTACATTGTTTGTGATAACTATGTCTCAGTCCGATCATTGCGGTCATACATCAAGAGACGACCATAGTCGTAGCGCCGCTCAATCAGACAGGCGACACGCGGCGGTGCCAAATATGCCTGATTATGCAACTCTGTTTCAAAATCCAGAATTTGCACGAGGTTTCGCCACCTTGATGGCTCAGACCATACCCGAGATGTCAACAACTGCTCCGGGACACTCTGTCATCCCTACGACACCAATAAACCCGCAAATCCCGTCGGCCCGACGAAGCGGCGGTGGGGTAGCATCGCGCACAACATCTCAACCTCGTAGCCAGTCATCCCAACCACATCGAGAGAGAGCGGCTCATCATACTGAAGCCACCCATGTTCCTCTTGACATACCACGTGAATAAACTGCTGAACGTCAGTCCGGCCAACCTCGGCGATTTGTACCATGAGTACAGCCTCAAGTTCCTTCCCATCCGCTGCAAACAGATCTTCGTCAACAAATAGAAAGAAATCGCTCAACTCGGCAAGAATCTCCCGAACTGGAAGCGCTGCGACGGAGAATTGTCGAATTGGAAAGTCGGCAAAAAACACAAGAAGGCACTCCTCGTCGGGCGTCCACTTCGGCACAAGTCTATTTGGAGGTTGATTCTCCTCTGGCACCCGAACTCACCTCGGAGCCCGTACCCAGAAAAGTTGAAGTTCTACAAATTGGATTATATGACGGGGCGTCGGGTCCCAATTCCCACCTCGGTCACTTCACTTCTTGAATGGATCTCCACGGAGCTTCAGACGCACTACGGTGCTGCATGTTTTCTCTTACTCTGGGGCCCCGAGCTAAAAAATGGTACCATTCCTTACCTCCTCATTCTATTTGGAAGTGGCAACAGCTAAGGTCGGCTTTCCGATCTCACTTTATTGGGGCCCAAGTATGTTTGGTTCCGAAAGAGTCCCTCGCTAACATAACTCAAAAAGATGATGAGAGCGTCAAAGACTACATCGCCCGATTCAGTGACCGAGTTCAAAACATGGAACCTTGCCATCCCGAAACCTTGTTTGTCATGGCAATTGCTGGATTGAAACCAAATTCTATATTCCTTTGGACATTATGTAAGAACAAGCCGAACACCTTCCAGGAATTTCTTGCTCGAGCTCAGCAACATATCATTGCTGAAAAGGCAATGTCTGTTCCCGATTTTAACTTTACTCCAAAACAATCAAAGTCGGGGACAGACGACAAAAAGAAGAACAAGTCCTCCACTGGGAAGCAACACAAGTCCCAATTTGGAAGTTTTCCCCGAGAAGATGCCAATGATCCTGAAGTCCGAGCGGCCCGAAGGCAAACTCTAATGATGTAAAATCGAGATATCAAAATGTTTATTCGGCTGGGGCCGCTACGATTTACGAAGAAATCAAAGGGAAAGACATTTTGCTTGAACCAAAACCAGTCCGGATACCTGAGGATAAACTGGACAAGTCGCGATATTATGATTATCACAAGTCACCGGGACATAATACCGACGAAAGTCTGAGCCTGTTAGCTGCCTTGCTCAGGCTTATTGGTCACCCTCAACTCAGGAAATTTTACTGAAATTCCGACGTCCGAAAACCAGGACCAAGACGTCAAGTCGAGCCATATGATGATGACGAGGACGACGACTGAGGTGTTATATCGAAACGAATCCGACAAGGGGGAAAAGAAGTATTCACACACCTCGGGTATATTCAGCACCGACTTAACTAATGACCAAAAATAAATCGACCAAAAAGAAATCGATCCCCTAGTCTGATACAAATCACAATTCATCGGGTGAATACCAACAGTTCGAGAGTTGTTTCATCCTGTCGTCAAATCAAAGCTTATGCTCGACAAGCTTACAATGCGGGTAAACAAGTTCTCACTACCGACTTGCGAGACGTGATTAATTCCCGAAAATTGTCCCATTACTTTTAATATGGAAGATGTGAACCTCTTTGCACATCCTCACTCCGTCGCTCTGGTCATCACCCTTCCGATATGTGGGATTTCTGTTCATCGTGTTATGGTCGACACTGGGGCCTATTCAAGCATTTTGATGCTGAAAGCCTTTGATAAAATGGGCCTCGACCATGCCGATATTAGGCCTTGTAATGATCAAATACAGGGATTCAATGGAAGTATCTCCCGACCCATTGGTGAAATCACTTTTCCAATCCGATTTGGTACACCCGGACATGCGACCAAACTTGTCATGTAAACCTTCAAAGTCCTCGACATCAATAATGAATACAATGCCATTATCGGAAGGACTGCCTTATACAAGCTCCGAGCCGATGTATCTATCTTCCATTATGCGCTTAAATTTCCTACGACGCATGGAGAAGGTACACATTATGGGGATCAAAGAGAAGCAAGGTTGCTCATTATTCCTTCACTATCTGCTGATGTTCAGTCAACCACTTCGGTCGATAAAGAGGTTTCTCAACTATCAACCTCCTCCGAAAAAAGTAATTTATGAGATTCGAAGTACTGAGTCCGAAATGCCCCCCACCTCGGATCACCTGGAAGAAGACCGAGGAAGATGACCCGGGAAGGAGCCGATCCGAGAAGAAGATGAATTAGACCCCCAGACTCAATTCAAAGAAAAGAGCTGAAGTGATCGGGCCGAACCCGGAGAAAAAATAGAGCTAATTTACATCGATGAACCGACGTGCCAAAAGTCATTACGTATTGGAAGTCATCTCCTGGAGCCCATTCGATCTGAACTCATTACGTTTCTAAAAAACAACCCTGACATCTTTGCATGGAGACACGAAGATATGAAAGGGATCGACCCCAGAATCGCTAGTCATAAGCTGAATCTTGACCTGACCATCAAACCCGTTGTTCAGAAACGAAGAAAACTGGGGCCAGATCGTCAAAAGGCCTTGGAAGAGGAAGAAAAAAAGCTCATCGACAACAAGTTCATTAAGGATGCCAAATACCCGACTTGGGTGTCCAATCTCGTTCTTGTTAAAAAGAGCAATGGCTTATGGCGATTGTGTATAGACTTCTCGGATCTAAATAAAGCTTTCCCGAAGGACAGCTACCCACTTTCTCACATAGACTATATGGTCGATGTTACCTCGGGACATGAGTTGATGAGTTTCATGGATGTTTACTCGGGCTACAACCAGATTCCCATGGATCCGAAAGATTATGAACACACTTCTTTCTATTCAGCCCGAGGTCTTTACTGTTACACCATGATGCCTTCGGATTAAAAAATTATGGAGCCACTTATCAACGTTTAGTT